GGGGCGGTGCCCAAACCCCCCAATCGGCCCTACCCTAAGCGTGACTGAGGGTGGCATCGCAACCTCCCGATCCGCCCTGCTCTGTGCATGACGGGGCGGCACCCCAGCTCCCCAATCGGCCCTGCTCTGAGCCTGACCAGGGGCTGCACCTAGGGATTGGGCCTGCCCTCTGCCACCCGGGAGCAGGCCTAAGCCAGCAGATCGTTATCTCCCGAGGGGTCCCAGACTGCGAGAGGGCACAGGCCGGGCTGGGGGATCCCCCTCCCCCCCCCCCGAGTGCACAAATTTTTGTGCACCGGGCCTCTAGTATATTGATAAAGCTGAATCTTTTTTCTCAAATATTAATCTTGATAAATCATATAAAAAAGGATAAAAGATTTAAAAACACTATCACTAAATATACCTAATTTATTAAATAATAAAATTTCAGAGCTGATGACTGCTGCCATCCCCAAATGACAGTGTAATCTAAAAAATAAAAAAAAGATTTCACAAAAGGTAAATTTCTAAAAAGATGTTTTTAAAAAGAAGGGACTTCCAGTTCTGCAGTTAATGCAGACCCAATGAATGAATCTCTTGACTAAAGCAAGTATCATTTAAAATAACTATAATGCATTTAATACTGTTGAGCTGACACAAAAGGTCCAATTTCAAAGAGGCCAAAACCTAAAAAGAGAAACCATGAGAGGTAACCAAGCACCAAAGCAGTCTGCCATCTCGAACCACGGGTGCCACTGACTTCTGGGGAACCGGCCGCCGCCTCGCTGCTGCCCAGGACACAGGGACGGCCAGCCAGCTGCCAGCAGGGGGACTCTCTCCAGACTCCTGGTTCAGCGAGGGTCCCACCCGCTCCCCTCAGTGTAAGGTTATCAAGAAACAAAATGAACACCATTTGGACAAAGACAAAGGTCACCTGAATGCTCAAAAACAGGCAACATTTCCTCCCTCAGAACTTAGGGTCATGTGCACAGTTCATTTTGTCTGTGTGACATTTTAAAAGCTGCAGAGGCTATAGATTGAAACAGCCCCAGGCTGGGCAGTGCCTCGAGACAACAGGCAGAAGTAAATAGGAGGCATCAAGCTAGGCCTCACAAGTCCCCATCCATTAGAGGGAAAGGAGTACCTCACAATAATGAACTACAAACCCACAGCACAAAGCACTGTAAGTTAGGCTCGACAGAAACAGATGGCGACTCAGATTCACAAAGACATCAAATACTGAATCATTTGACATAAAATAAAAGATAACATTGAAAATGTTTAAAGACATATAAGAAAAACTTGAAAATATGGAGAAAGAGTAAGTGACAATAAGTAACAAACAGATTTACCAAAAAGAAAAGAAACCTTTATAATTAAAAACTTTGTGGTTAGATTAAGCAACAGAATAAACATCGCTAAAGAAAGAACCAGGACCCCTAACCGGTTTGGCTCAGAGGATAGAGCAGTGGCCTTCGGACTGAAAGGTCACAGGTTCGATTCCAGTCAAGGGCATGTACCTTGGTTGCAGGCACATCCCCAGTAGGGGGTGTACAGGAGGCAGCTGATTGATGTTTCTCTCTCATTGATGTTTCTAACTCTCTATCCCTCTCTCTTCCTCTCTGTAAAAAATCAATAAAAATACATTTTTAAAAAAAGAAGAAGAAAGAACCAGGAAATGAAAAGATGGATCTGAAGATACCAGATGCTGTCCAGGGAGACAAAATTGTGAAAAAGCCAGAAGAGGCATGGGAAAGTAAGAAAGGCTACTGTATAGCTCGTTTGAGTTTCAGAAATAGATAGTAAAGAGAATGAAGGAGAAAATATTGTAAGTATATAGACAAGAATTTTTACAGAATTGATCAGATACTAATTCCCAGATCCAGGAATATCCATGATTCCAAACAGGATAAACAAAAGACATCCCCACCTACACACATCACAGTGAAGCTGTACAACACCAAGGAAATAGAGACCTTGGAAAGCAATCAGAAAGAAACGATAAATCACCTACAACAGTGTGGATTGGACAGGCTTGTAGCTGACTTCTCAAAAAATACAGAAGACAGAAAACTGTAGAATTATATTGTCAATGTGCAGGGAGAAAATATCTTTCAAACTAAAATGTTCACTGCGTTTTCGTTTTACCCAGTAAAACTATCGCTAGAAAAGACAAAAACTTGGTACAGACCTCTTTCTAAAAGGACTTTTAAAGAATACACATGAAGTAGAAATAAAACAATCCCAGGTGGAAGTTTTGAGGATAAATGACAAGAGCTATTTGTAAATATGTGAGCAAATTAAATAAACAATGATTACATATAAAAACTATTATAATAATGGAAAATTTGTGGGGGAAATAAAATAGAAGCTGAATAACTCAGTTTTAAAACTTTTCTATTATTTGGGAAAGAGTAAACCTAATGATTATGTTTCTCTCTCTCCCTTCCTCTCTCTCCCTGAAATCATTTTTTAAAAAAATCAGGCCTGGCAGATGTGGCTCAGTTGGCTGAGCTTAGTCCCATGCACTGAAAGGCTGCGGTTGATTCCTGGTCAGGGCACATACTCAGGTTGGGGGTTTGATCTTCGATCAGGGAAGCATATGGGAGGCAGCTGATTGATGGTTCTCTCTCACATCGATGTTTCTCTCCCTCCCTCCCTCCCTCCCTCCCTCTCTCTCTAAAATCAATAAAAATATTTTTTTAAAAATATCAGAAAAGCAATCAGAAATAAAAGATAAATAAAACAGAAACTGAATAAGTCAGTTTCTATTTTATTGAGAACTAAAAAAAAGAGTTAGGGGGAAACACAGGGCATTCTGTCATTCAGATAATTGTCTTCTTCAGCTTGGGGGCAGGTAATAGACGTGATTATGATTACATAAACTATACAAATACACTTTTACACTTTTTTGTATACATACATACTTCACAATAAAATGCTTCAATAAATAAAAGCAAAGGGATAGTTATTAGGAACATAAAACTGTAATCTTACCAGGATAAGAATGATTCTGTTTATTAGAAGAAATTTCTGAAAGTGTGTCCAGGGAATCTGTTACTCTGTAAATAAAACAAGTAATACAAACCTTATTAGAAGTTGCTGGTCTTCAGATTGAAGATTGGCTCTTAACCGAGGTTTCACACTAATGGTTTTCTTATTTCACTCATTCAACAAACATTTATTGAGCACCTATTATGAGCCAGGATAAACTTCAGTCTAGCATCAGAGACAGGCAATAATCAAACAGAAGATACCTTCTGTTTATCCCTTCTTTGTTATCTAACAATAATTTGTATAGAAAAAGTCAACTTAAAGTGAATTCACTTAAGATAGGGACCTGACTTTACTTCTTTGTAAATTTATCTTCAAGGATGAAACTAAAAACTATGAAAATAAGTTTATTTTATGTTAAATTTAACAAATGTTATAGTTGTAAAAATATCACATTCTTTTTTTCTCGTTAATCCTCATCCAAGGATATTTTTCCATTGATATTTTTTTTTTAGAGAGAGAGAGTGGAAGGGAGAGAGATAGAGAGAGGGAAACATCAATGTAAGAGAGACACACTGATTGGTTATCTCCCACACACACTCCAACCAGGGCCAGGGATCAAGACTACAACCGAGGTACATGTCCTTGACCAGAACTGAACCCAGGTCCCTTCACTGTGTGGGCCGACACTCTATCCACTAAGCCAAACTGGCTAGGGCATCACATTTTTAAATTTAAGAAAGATATCAGCTGAGTCTGTAAGTGTGTGATTTTTCTGATAAAATTATATGGCTAAAACAATTCAACATTTTTTTACTTTATATTTGACTCTAAGCATAAACATAAAGGTCGCTTTCCTGACAGGTTTGTCTTTATTTTTTAACTAGAGGCCTGATGCACGAAATTCACAGCCCTGCCCCCCGCCCACTGGTCATTCCAGAAGGTCGTTCCAGAAGGTCATTCCAGAAGGTCATTTGGCCATCTGGTCTAATTAGCATATTAGCTCTTTATTATATAGGGTATTCAAATCATTATTTTTAAAAGGCCAATCCTAACAGTCTTATTTTCTTTCAATTGTTTGCTGACCTAAATCTGCAAAGCCTTCACTGTCAATCACTTCCTCCAGCACACTGCTGCCATCAATAAATCCTGCAACTCTTGCAATATTTGCAATTTCATCCTGCAACTTATATGCATCTTTTTTACATAATATTCATCATACAGCAATCAATGACAGACTCATGAACACAAAAAATATGACTTGATGAAAAGACAGATACTTGAATTAAGTGGTGATGGATAGTTGAGAACTTTATTCTAAAAGTGATTAGTTAATTTGTAATAAGGATTTATTAGTGAGAACTAAGAATAAGAAAATTAATACTATGCTGATGCCCACTTGGGCAAAAAGATGGCTAGATAGATAGTTTTCTTAGAATTTCTCTAAAGAAATGTTGGTTGATTTATATGTTAATGGAAGAAAAGGTATAAACTAGATGAAAGTTGGGTGTTAGTAGAAAGCCTCCACGCAGAGGCAATAGCAGGTGCAAAGATTCTGGACAAGAGGCACATTTTTTAAATAGAAAAGGGGGGTGCGGGGCAGGGAGAGGGAAGGCCAGCCACAATCTGGGAGAAACGCTGTGCCACTATTTTATTAAGACTGTCCTCACGCAGCCCCTAGTTTTAAATTCTTCCTTCTTCGCTACAATAAATTCAATAAAAAGGATTAAAAAATCCTTCCTTATGGAAGATCAGTGGTGTCTTTAAAGAGCTCCAAAGCTGGTTTAAATGAGAAACTCCTCAAAATCAGGGACCATGTCTGTTTTATTTGCTTACAGAATGCCTAGCACAGCACAAAGTGCTAAAAGACACTTAATAGTATTTGATGGGGATGAATGAGACAATCAGAAGATGACAGGAAGACAGCTGGATCGAGACAGCAGTTCATTTAGAGAGAGAGAGCGCCCCGTTTCTTTTAAGAGGGAGCTGCTTTTAAATGAATCACCTTAAAGACGACGAAATGGAAGGCAAGGGGAAAAAAACAAATTAAAAAACATGTGTTCCATTAACAAAGCGAGAAAAGGATGAAACCATGTAAAAGAAAGCAGCTTCATAATCTAAAGGAGAGGAAAGGCTGTTACAGCATAAAAAACACTGCGCTCGACGTGATCAATACTTGCCGTGCCTACAGTAAGCCACCCTATGTTCTCTGGGTAATCGAACATGAAATGAACAACCCCTGTCCTCCTGACTAGGAGACAAATAAAACTTGTAGGAGACTGTAGCAATGTGTTAATGAAGATTTTTCCAAAGTAATATGAGAACCCAGAAGACTGTCACATTCCGCATGGATTTTACTCCCAAGCCAATCACTATAAGATACAGGCCCTGAAGAGAGCCACGGGGCCTCTTTTAACCATTACTAGACCACATGGGCTCAAACCCCCACCGGGAGCTGTGCACAGCGCACACATCCCTTAGCCTCTCTGTGCACGCTTTCCTCATCTGGGACAGAGGGGTAATTAAAGCGCCTGGCCCGCAGGGTTGCTGCTGCGGCATGAGCAGAGCGCCTAAAACAGTGCCGGCTGATATCAGTGCAGCAGACGGACATGCTCAGCCTCTCCGACTCCATCCTGTTCAGCTGTGTTCTTGCGCACAGACATGCCAATCATTGGAGGAATTCTGTTGGTGGCTTGAGTTTTTATAAAAATAGCCCCTTGCCAGAAGGTGCATCTCCTGAGGAGATGGGGGAAATATGTACAATGATTGCTTATCAAAGATTTGCAGAAGCCTCCTGGAAGGATGCAAATCAACTGGGGTCAATGGACTGGGAACAAAGAGGTTTCAGGTCTTCCTGGGACCCCTGCTGGTGCCCAGCCGGCTGCTGTCTGCCGTTGTCAATCACCTCTCGCCCCTCCCCTTCGCTTGACATAAAAGAAGCCTGAACTCTGCACTTTCTTAGGATGGATTTGAGGAATCCCATCTTCTCAGTTGGTGACTTCTCCATCAATAAACCTTTCTTGCTCCAAATTCTGACGTTTTGAGTTTTGGCCTTTCGAAATGTCAGGCACACAGACCTTGAAACCAGAAACATAAATGCTAATCATTAGCTATGACCTCTTTTTCTTCATTATAAAATGACTACCAAAAAAACCAGCAACCTTTCTAAAAGCGAGGTCTTCGAAAACAACAATAAAATAGCAAACTGGGCTGGGGTGGGCTGCGCCATTCACTAACAGAGGAGATCAGAACACGCCCCCCACAGGCCATTCTGACGTGAGAGTTATTTTGAGCTGAAGATCCATGAGAATCAACACATACAGGGGCAGACTTTCTCTGGATGCTGCCAAAAATGGGTCCTCCAAACACAGAACTCGGTTGTTGCAAATCCCCTCCCCAGGAGTTTCACCAAGCAGAGAAGACCGACTCTTAGCCCAGGAGAGGAGCCTAGAGTCGACACCACACCCAGACAGACATCCGCACAAACTACACACCCGGACAGACATTGTCACAAACCCTCCTACCTCCTGTCCATTTTCCTAAGTGCCCATTCACCTTTCCTAACAATCATTTGCTCTCTCATGAGTAGCCTTCCCTGCCTCCTCCGCTATTAAGATGCTCTATAATGCTCCAACCTCGCCACTCCTTTGGATATTCATTTCTTTCTGTGATGCCCCGTGCATATAAAAATAAAATCTAATAAACTTATATCTTTTCTCCTGTTAATCTATCTGCTGTCAGTTTAATTCACAGACCCCCACCCCAGTCCAGCTACTGATCCTAAGCGTGGAGGAAGTTCTCCTCCCCTACACTAGCTATAAGGCTTCAGCTGAATTACTTTATCTCTTCTACGCTTCTTCACTTGCAATATGGGAATGCTAATAATAAAGTGCACTGCACAGAGCCCACTGCTCATTAAATGCTCAGTAAATGAATGGATTAGCTCCTGCAATTTCCCAACTCAGCTGACCAAATACTTATTAGGGTCAAATAAAGCAACATTTAATTGAAGACACTTTATAAACTGGAAAGCATATATTAAATGCTATATTATCCTATATAATAAAAGCCTAATATGCTAAGTGTCTTGTCGTCCAGTTGGCCATTCAACCAAAGCGTAATAGGCTAATGATATGCTAAGGCTGCTCAACTGCTTGCTATGACATGCACTGACCACCAGGGGGGAAGACAGTTGGCTGGTCGACTAGTTCCTATGACGTGCACTGACCACTAGGAGGCAGACGCTCTGACCGGTAGGTGAACTTGCTGCTGGGGTCTACGGATCGATAGGGGCCAGACACGCTCTGGAGCTCTCCTGTGGCCCCTCCCCGGCTGGCCAACCTCCCATGTCTCTCCCCAGCCTTGATCATGCACCGGTGGGGTCCCTTGGCTTGGCTGCACCCTCTTGCATTCTGGGACCCCTCGGGGGATGTCGGAGAGCCAGTTTCGGCGCGATGGTGAAACGACCAGTCATTATGACGCTTACTGACCACCAGGGGGCCGACGCTCAATGCAGGAGCTGCCCCCGATGGTCAGTGCACTCCACAGGGGGAGCACCACTCAGCCAGAAGCCAGGCTCACAGCTGGCAAGCACAGCGGCAGTGGCAGGAGCCTCTCCTGCCTCCACGGCAGCGCTAAGGATGTCCAACTGCATCCCCCGAGGGCTCCCAGACTGCAAGAGGGCACAGGCTGGGCTGAGGTACCCTCCTCAAGTACACAAATTTCATGCACTGGGCCTCTAGTCATAAATAATAAGAAAATTATATCAAGTACATCATAGAAGAAAATTAATACAAAAATTGTAAGTCATTATTCAGTATGAAAAATAGAGTGAGAAAGCAAATGGATATAAAAACTGTTAAACGTGCCAGGAGGTGGTCACACAGTCTAGTTGGATGTGAACTGGAGGAGACTCCCATGGTGTAACTGCAGACCTACCTCGTGAATGTGGTTATACCATAGATGTTATTTCCTATTTAAGATTAGCATCCCACTTCCCACCAAACCAACCTCTTTCAGCACCTAAGTCATTCTAAAACGGCACCTGGAATTTCATGACGACTTGATTTCTGTTCAGCCTGATTTTTTGAAACCAGAGTGAGCTGGTACAAAAGTGTACTATGCTAAGAGGAGCCACTGAGGAGGTATATTACACATAAATACTTGAAGCTTCGCTTCCCCCGAAGAGCTACTGCCTATCTATTTTTGTGAAAACTAAAGAAATCAGAGGAAAAGCCATTTTGGTCCCATTAGGTTTGCAGGAGGATGAATGGGGCGCCTGGAGCAATCAGAGAGCATTTTCACTTTTGTTTGCATGCCAGATTAAGCTCGCTGCTCCCAGTGTTCGCTGCAAACGCCACTTCTAATAGCCTGCACGTACTCATAGGGTTTGCAAATGAGGAATAAAGGAGGATTTTAAAATTGCAAATCTTCAGCAAAGCAAATTTAGCTTTCCATGAGCCTCCTCTCTGAAGGCAGTGGCTGGTTAACCCCCTGAAAGAAGACAGGAACATAATCGGTGCACGTCTTCAATATAAAATTAGGAGCTCTAACTATAAACCATGGCAAATTACAAGAAGTTCTTGTGAATAAACATGAATCCCATTCTTCCTCACCTTTGTACCCTGGATGGGGGAGCAAATATTCCATATCTTGGAGAACAACTAAAATACTGCACACCGCCGACGGAGCCGTCATTCTTGCCGTGCGGCTTCTCGAGCTCTATCCCGTACCACTGTCCTGGAATGAGAATGGGCGGCTTTAACGGCATCTGCACTGTAGCCAAAGCAGCTATGCTGTTACCCAAACCCAAAGTCTAGATGGTTCCACAGCTTCACAAATGACCGAAATGAGGAATGATCGTCATGATCGTTCAGCTGTCAAAGGATAAAATTGGAAAAGTTGAAAACGAACAGGGAAAAGGTTTTACAAGCTTCACTGCAGAGTTGCACATTAAGAGAGAAAGCTAAAATGCACAAACAAGAATTTGGCAAGATTGGCTGTAATGCAAGCAGTATGACCAAAACATGTCTGAGAGCTGTGATGAACCAGAGCTTGTCCTGGGCTGGGGGACATGGGCTGTGTCAGTACTGAGATGGATAAAGGAACCAGCAACCTCTTCATTTTACTCCCAATGTTAGAACACCACAAACAGCTCTTCAATAATTACAGGAGGACACAAATCAAATGGAAAATATGGCTAGACATCATGGTAACTCTTCTTTTTCTTTCTGTTTTTCCCCACTCAGGGTGAAAAGAAATATTCTTTTTAATCTAAATGAAAAGATTCAGGTTATCTAAGAGGAAGGATTTTCTAAAAGGCTTTTAAGTATTTAAAGGGTCTCCTCTGAGGAAAGTCATAGGATTTCCTTTTCTAGAGCCTAAAATGACAGTCGGGTGGTAAATATTAGGTAAGTGGACAAATACTCCTAATGATTCTCAAATTGAGGGTGACTCAGACCAGTTAAAAGTACCAAAAATCCATTTTTTTTATTAAAAAGGAGAATACAGTACTAATTGTATTTGGTTCCTTACAATCAGTATCAAATAAAAAAATAAGGATATAGATATTGAGAAATTTATTGCAACTTATAAATTCCCAAATACAAAAATATTGTTTCCTTCCAATTACTAGTTCAAAGAGACAATTATATAATGTCTAAAAAGACAACCTGGAAGTTCTTAGTATTTTTCCCTCTTATACTTGAGCTCATTTCCGTAGTTTGGGTTGGAAAGATTAATTGCATAACTGTTTTGTATTAAACTATGCAAAAGTACAGAGCAATGTATGCAAACCTACTGCTTGGCTGTAACTAATGCCCTGAAAGTAGGTCATCACATTTCGGAATGTCACTAGCCAGGCTCACCTGTGGCCGCTGTTATTTCTCTGAGTGCCAGAGTTGGAATTTTCCAAGTTTTACTTCCTTCTGCCGTTGATGTTTTCCTATATAATTTTTTGCATTTTCCCTTTTTACCGGTAATATACCATGCAACTACTACATGCTTACCATACAACTCTTGAGAATGTGTAACACACACAAAAAAGGCATTATGACAAGTGTTAATAACAGTGACTACGCATTGTCAGGTCGTGGTGAGGTACAGATTTAAAAGACAATATTCCCATTTAAAAGACAATATTCTTTCAGAGGTGGCACTGATACAAATGCTAAGGAGGCTAAACAAGACCCTCTCCGGGCCAGATCTTATCATCTATAAAACACCGAGATATAACCACTGCTCCACAGAACTGAATGACGTAACTTTTGATGCCACGAGAAATATATGCTACTACTTTCTAAAAGGCAGAATGACTTTAACAAAGAAGTGTCTAACTTTTATTATATTTGCTTATTACTTCCCAGATTTCTAAATGCTTCACATTAGGAATTTAAAAATTGAAAGTCAAACTAAATGATGAACTGCATCCAGCAAATCAAACCATGCCAGCCTTGTCTAACATAACCACAGAAAGGAAACTCAAAAGACATACGGTGATTGTGAAAATCAACCTACCTTTGGGATTACTAAGTTTGTGAAAACTGTATTAAGAACATCCTAACTATGCTCAATTACTACCTGGAGGCCTAAGAGAAACATGAATTATAAAGCATATGGCCCCTCTCAAATCAATTAGTTGGACGGCAATTACAAGTGACGTTAATGAAACAAGGATGTGTGGGGAGACAACGCTGCAGGGCGCGCTCATGCTTCTGCATGTTCCGTGGACAGAGGCACTAACTGGCTTTTCATGGGAGTCTGTACAGAGGACAGGCGTGGAGGAGACAGACAGAGTCTCCCCCGGAGCGAAGGACAGGCGCTTACTGTTGGTGTGAAGGTGCAGGTTCCTTAAGCTCACAGCTCCTCTCCCAGAGCGTAAACCACTGGGTGTGCAGTGTCACCTGGCCCTCTACCTCACCTTCGAAACTGGGGCCCAGGGAACAATTGCAAAAAAAAAGAAGAGGTGACACTGGCTCCTGCTATTGTTGTGAGCACTGAAGTCCTCTGTCTCTGACCCAGGAGCCCCATTGTCTGCCAGCACCCAGGCAACCATGGCAATCTACCTGGTTAGCTTGCAAATGGGGTAAAATCTCAGAGCCTTCACAGGCTGCTACAGACTTTCTAAAAAAGCATTGTCCTAGGCAACCTGGTCCCTACATGCAGCGATGCCACCATGTGTCAAAGCAGCACATTGCTACTTAAACACACGCACGTGGTTTCACTCAGCTGGCTTCCCCCTGAAATTTCAGTCACTGGAAATGCAAAAGGAAAAGAGCCTTTGCTTCTGGAATCCCAACAGAAGTCTAGATGGGAATTAATACATAAACACACAAACGTGTTCCTAAGGTCCCAGGCACGCAAAAGCTTCGTCATTTTCCTGTGAACCTTGCTTGCCTTTCTCTGATAAGAGCTCTGTGCAGTGAACTCGTCATCTACTCATTTTCAAGATGATCCTCAGCAAGAACCTAATGCTAACGTGTCTGCTCTGTCGCTGAGCACACTCAGCAATCAGTGGGAGCGAGACTGGAGAGTGACGGCCACTTCAAACACAATTAGCAAGAAAATGTATGGATAACAGTCAACCTGGGTACAAACAGTCTGCATTTTAATCATTGTTGTGCATTTCCTGCACCACAGCTTCCAATGTTCCTCAGAAATTCTCTGTCATTGCATGTGACGTGTTAAGCCTTTTGGACTCTACAGAATTCAAGCGGAACAAAGACTGCGCACACAAGTTACCTGGAGCAAAGTTCGTCGTCCCGAAAAACCTGATGGTGCCCATCCGCTGGCCAACCACCAGCACCCTGTCCCCCAGCTGGAGCTCCCCCGTGGGGCGGGTACTATTTGCTCCAGATGTTGCTGAAGATTTCAAACCTGTGTCATCGGTTGGTGGGGGGAAGGGGTTAGGGCAGGAAAAAAGGAGAAAAAACAAAGGGAAAAAATAAGGAAACATGTTAGCCAAAATATCACTCTGTAGTCTAACCAGTCCAGTTGGCTGGAGATTTCGATATACGATGCCTTTCATTATAGATCGTCTACAGCAGCGAGTTCCAACCTTTTCATCTCCTGGCACACATAAGCTAATTACTAAAATTCTGTGGCACGCCAAAACATATATTTTTTGCTGATCTGACCAAAAAAAAAATAGATGTAATTTTGATTCCTTCACACCATTGTTGTGTTGGCTGTTGTCATTTTTTTTTTTTTGATAAACTAAGGGAAAAGAGGTCAGTGCCCCTGACTAAGTAGTCAGGAATTGCATATTTTAAAAGTTCTTGTGGCACACCGGCTGAAGATCGCCGATCTATAGGTCTGTTTCTCCCGTGTGAGGTCAAGCTACTCAAGGAGATGTGAAGAGCTGCCTGAGAAAATTCTGGCCGTGGGAACTGAACACACACAATTCCTGATCAACTCTGTCCAGACTGCCCGGTGGCACCCTCTCCGAGAACAGAGGCTGAAGAGTAAGTGCTTTTGACTTTGTCACAACGACTCAGCTCTGCTGTTGTAGCACAAAAGCTGACATAGACAGAGTGGGTGTGGCATGTTCCAATAACACCTTATTTACAAATATTTGGTGGCAGGTTGGATTTGGCCATGGGCTGTCATTGGCCTATTGTAAAATCCTACAATTAGAGTTGTTCACTGAGACTCAGTGTAAATGACACACATAGGAATGTGATTTAAGGTGAAATTGCTATAAGGTTCCAATGACCCCATCTGATTTCCTTATTGGAAACAAAACCCCTCACCTTGACTCAGACCTAAACCCTGAAGTGGCCTGTTGAACATCAGCAGTCCTGGAGAATACTGCCTAGAGAGCTGTCCCATTATTACAGAGAAGAGGTGGGCCTGGCGGCTTCTCCCACCCCCACCACCAGACGGAACAGCTGTTATCTGGGGAGGCCTAGAGAACCCCGCAGAGGGCGCGGGGTGGAGGGCAAGTCACCCTGTGAAAGGGGAGAAACTATGGCAACAAATAAACCGAGGGAGGAGGAGGAGGGAGGCCTGGATAAAGGGCAGTGCTAAACAGCCCTAGGCCCTCAAATAACTAGTATCCCCATAGCACTTCACAGTCCACAACATGTTTTTCATAAGAATTATGAAAACTCAGAAATTAACTAAGACATGGTGTTCACAGGAGGCAGGTGGCACACCTGGATTAAATCCAGACCCTATGACCAGAAATCCTCAGGTTCAGGTTGCATAGATGCTGGCAGGGTTCGCAGCTAGTTAAAATCACATCAGAACAGGTTATCATGGCCAACCTGTAGGAGAGCCTCCGACCCTTCCTACCGAGTTTTAAATAGTGGGTAAAACTAGAGAAAGCATGCGTTTAAAATGTGAAGATGACACAAAAGCATGTGCAGAAGCCAATATGCATGATGTGAGAAACAAAATTCTGAGGGTGAGAGCTCTAGCATCAAATTACATGAAAATGCCGAGTCCTATAGGGAGCAGTAACATGAAGAGACTGGCACAGGCCCCGTCTGAGCCGACAGCACAGTGCGGTCGCCCACACTGCAGCAGCGGTAGACTCGCTGGTACCGGCTGCCAGGAGGGGTCTGGGGACCCTGAGGCGTGGGGAAGAGCTGACGATACCTGGGACACAGATGGACGAAACAGCAGCAGAGAAAGCAGCAGACAGACCTGAGGGTGAAGCCCGGGGGAGCCACCTACACACGGCCATGACTTACCTCCCTAAGCCTCCGTTTCCTCATTCATAAAATGAGGATGATAACGGTACCTACTCCATAGGTTTATTTTGAGAATTACATAAAATAAGGTACGTAAAGTGCCTAGAATAGTACCCGAAATAGTAAGTATATAGTACATGTTAGTTATTATTTGGTTTATGTTGGAGAAAAGATAAGGAAGATAGCAAACCATACATTTCCAATTATCTGAGGATGTATCGTAAAGTTCTATAATGAACCTTGAAGGGTGGGAGGCCTCAGACACATGGGGAAGGGAAGACAACCAGACGGGTGGATGGCGTGAGCAGAGAGGGAGAGGCTGAGAGGTCGAGCACGCTTACAAGGGGAGGGAGGCAGGGGCCATGGGGGACACAGGGGAGGGTGCAAGTAGTTCAATCTGATTGAAGTCAAGGGTTCCTTCTACACATTTAAAAAGAGCAAATCTACTTACAAACAGACCAAGATAAAAACCACCAAGAAAGCCTGGTTGAAAAAGCCATAGATACCAGCGCTGGCCCTGGATGGCGCAGACGGGCTTTTGCTCGTGGTCGGCTTGCCATTGCCCCGGGCGTGCAGTTTCCTGGGGTGGCTCTGCTTGTGCTCCAAGGAAGATGCAGAGGACAAGCTGCTGATGGAGCCAGGCAGGTGAACTGAAACTGGGAAAGGAAAGGAATATATGAAAGGGCGAGCGCAGGAAGTGAGCCAATGAGACACTTCTCCAGGTAAACCCTCCTGAAGCTCGCCCCTTAGCTTCCCCAATTGTGGATTACCTGGTGCTGAATTACATGCCTGGTTTCATGCCAAGACAGCTGATACAGAAAAGACCTTATAACTCAAGCAACTGTATTTTAAGGAAACACACTGTATGATGACAATCTTATACAAGACAACATCATCACATCCGTAGACTTCAGCTGACTACCTATCTTAACCACCACTCCCTTCACCTCTCACTTTAGATGGGACAGTGGAATCCCATCTTATTATGCAAACAACACTGCTAATATGTTTTAAGGTAACAAAGTTTAATATTTAAATGTTTTGAGTTAACCTGAAGGCAAGCAGGAATACTTCTGAATTTTCCATTCATGCTCTATTCACCTGATGATTTGAAAGCTAAAGGCAGCTTTAAATCTTTTCATCAAGCCATTTACACTATGTAATGTCCTTCTGCTCTCAATATAGTTCTCTAATGTAAGTACACAAGAATCACAGTACAGGATTTTATATAAAAACATATACATACTTGAGCAAGAGCTGCTTAGGGGATTTTTCAAGGATAAATTTTTACTATACTGATTTTTCCCTGAAAAACTTTAAAATTTAGCCCCATAGAAGTTATGTCATTATATTATCTGAAAGTGCCATCATGAAATGTAACTGTGAGGACAGAATTATACAGTGTGTTACCATCTTTCTCCGTCGCGGTTTTCAGTTCCTCGCCAGCAGGCAGCGAAAGCGTTGATTCCGAAGCGCCGTCTCTTTTTGATGGCATTAACCCTAGAACACAGCACGAAACACGCTCAGCAAGAAAGAATTTTGTTTATCGTTACACATAAAAATGTACTTTCTTTTTCAGTACAGAAGGCCCTCCTACCTAAATCTTATCCACTTCTGAAAACAGGCTGGATAATAAATCCACAGACAGAGGGGTCAGTAATTCAATATTTAAAGGGAAGAGAAAAGAACGCATTCCTAGCCCACCTGAAAACCCGTTTCCCCAAATATCACTGAAGTGTATTTTAAACCTGTTTAGCACTCCATTAAGGAATCTAAATAACAGAAAGCATTTACAGCACAGCTGCTGAATTGCATGATACGCATGCACAAGGCAGGCAGGTAAAGCAAACAAATGCAGCTGAGATGGGACAGTTGCACACTTGCTAGGACTTGCAAATGATTTACATCATTTCACAGGTGTGTGCATGCAAATTCATTATAGCAGATTCTCTATTTAGATAGCAAACTTCAGGTAAAAACAAATTTTATGAGTAATTACTCATGTAAGTGAGAGTCAGGTAGTAAAATATCCTATACTCTCTGTCACTGGTATTTTGAAAATGACTACCCCACTCTCAATACACCCAACTCCCACAAAAAATTCACTAAAAAAAAAGCTCATGAATAACACTCTACCCTATTAAGACTCCTGTTTCAATTCTACAGACCCAAATTATGTAAATAATAAACCTAGGGCATTGCACCAGTTTTAAATTCCACCGACACCCATTTCCGTTCCACTCACTCACGAAGCACTCTGGGTGGAGAGCTGTGCTTGGCACTGTAGCATCGCAAACGTGAACAAGACATGGTCTAAGCCCTACAGGAGACCTTTTCTTGTTGGTGAGGTAGAAAGACATGGAGAGGAATAACTAAAATAGGACACTTTTGATGTAAGTGCTAGCAGAGGAGGAGGGGACAATAATCGTGGCTACAAAGATAAATTAATGCCTCCACCAGATCGCGTGTTGAGATGGGTCTTGAGGGGTGAGCCTGATTTCTTCTAGAGAATACTGGAGGTGTGGTCAGAAAGAACTGGGGGGTAGGCATTCTGGATGAACCAAAAAAAGTCTTAAAGACAGAGTCAGACAAGGATGAGTAGTGTGGCTGGAATAAAGAGTTGTTTGGGCTGGGGAACAGGTAAACCGGATAGATTGGGTCAGAGTAAAATCTTAGAAGGGACAGTGCTGGCTCCGGACTGGAACCTTGGGGAAGGAGTGAGCCTGACGGGTCTGGAGAGGAGGGCTGGCATGAACAGTTACAGGTGAGTGACGAGACCCTGACAGCAAAGTTGAGGAGGAAACGAGAGGAGAGGCTGGGGCAGAGACCAGGTAGAGTTATTACACAGGCCAGGAATGAGGCCAGAGCCGCAACAGCAGGAGCTGAATGGACAGGTGGGTAAGAGACTTTGTGAAACAACCCAGAGTAGATTTATTTTTCAGTATATTTTTCAGTTCTGAAATATCTGTTTGGTCCTTTCTTCATATTTGAATTGTTTGTTGAGGTAAACCGGAGATTCACATGCAGTGGTAAGAAACAATACAGGGAGATCTTGTACACTTTGCCTAGGTTCCCCCAAAGGTAGTATTTTACAAAACTTATTATAATAACACCAGAGGCCTGATGCACGAAATTCATGCAAGGGGCTCGGCCCTCGCAGCCCCAGCTTCGTCTGGAAGGTCTTCTGGAAGGACGTCCGGTCTAATTAGCATATTATGCTTTTATTAATATAATAGAGGCCCGGTGCATAAAATTCATGCACTCGGGGGGGGGGGGTCCCCCCAGCCCGGCCTGTGCCCTCTAGCAGTCCAGAAACCCTCTTTGGAGGCAGGAGAGGCTCCCACCACCACCACTACACTCACCAGCTGTGAGCCCAGCTTCTGACTGAGCAGTGCTCCCCCTGTAGGAGCGCACTGACCACCAGTGGGCAGCTCCTGTGTTGAGCGTCTGCCCCCTGGTGGTCAGTGTGCATCATAGCGACTGGTCGTTCTGCCATTCAGTTGATTTGTATATTAGCCTTTTATTATATAGGATCTTTTTTTTCTTTAATATATTTTATTCATTTTTTATAGAGAGGAGGGGAGAGGGATAGAGTTAGAAACATCGATGAGAGAGAAACATCGATCAGCTGCTCCTGTACACTCCCTACTGGGGATGTACCCACAACCAACGTACATGCCCTTGACCAGAATCGAACCTGGGACCCTTCAGTCTGCAGGCCAACGCTCTATCCACTGAGTCAAGCTGGTTAGGGCTACGCTTTTATTATTATAGATAACCGTGATACTGACACTGATACAATACACCAATCTCAGATTACCCCTATTCATCTGTGTGTGTGTGTGCATGCGCATTCATGTGTGCACACATGCATCATTGGTTCTTTTTGTATTTTCATTTCTCTACTGAAACTTTCCATTTGTCTAAGGAGTGTTCCCTTAATTCTAAGAGCACTGGTTATTATTATGTTCTTTAAACTCTATCTGTATCATTTCAGGACCGGCATCTTTTAATCGTCCTTTTCCTTGAGAGATGTTGAGATTTTCCTGGTCGTTCATATTTGGAGCAATTTGGGGTTGTAGCCTATAGATTGTGAATATTATTTAAAGGACTCTGGGTCCTGTTTAACTGCTATGGAGATGCTGTTTTGTTTTGTTTTGTTTTGGCCAGGAGCCAACCATTAGGTTCAGGCTGAAAGTTCCCCACCTTCTGTGACTGTGGTTCCAATGTCAGTTCAGTTGCCAAAGCCTCTTTGCGATCCATCTCAGGTGTCGTGCCGCCCAGCACCAGTGTGGGGCCAGGCAGATCCGAGCACATCCAACTTGGGAGTAAGCCCGAGACTTCACACCCAGCATTTTCAGGTCACTTTCTTGAGCTCCCCCCCATCCATGGTCTCCCTGACACTTTCCTGCGCCTAGGGGGCGCCCCTCCTGGTATTCTGGATACAACGTCTAGGTTTTAGTTCCCCTGCTCTGTCCTACAATCTCCTGAGCCAGATTCTGCCTCGGGGCCAAGCTGTGGAAAAAAGAAAGAAAACTAATGGGGATTCCAGGCATGTTCTTGGGACCCCGGATTCTCTGGTCAGAGGCAAGGGTTCTCCCTTGGGGGTCAGGGGCCTGTTGCACCACACAGGGCTGCCCAGGGTGGGATGGGGAAGAGCCAACAGGGGAAGGAAGCACTGAGGGAAGAAGCAAGGGATTTCCTCCACATTCTGTCTCCCAAACGAGAAGTGAGGGGCTTCCCTTTGAGCTTTCGTTCCCTGTCTGCTGGAACTTCAGGGTTTCAGCTTAAAGAATTCCATTTGCAATAGCTTCAAAAAGTATGAAGACCTAGGAATAGATCTAACAAAACAGGTACAAGACATCTGTAGAGAAAGTTATAAAATCTGATTAAGATACTTCTGAGGGACCTAACTAAACAGACATCCCAAGCTCATCATTAAAAGACTGAATATTGTAAAGACGTCTGTTCTCCCCTGATTTGAAGTTTAAATGCAATACCCGTTAAAAGGTCAACAAATATCTTTTAAATGAAACTTAACAGCTTTTCCTAAAATTTACACAGAAGTGTGATTTATAAGGGCACAAATAGGGAAGATACTGTTGGGGTAGGAGGCTTTCTTCTACTGGATGCCAAGAAGTGTTTTTTTTAAACTACAGCAATTAGGAGTGCGGTGTTACACAGGGATATTCAAATAACCCCACGCAACAGGTTGGAAAGGCCAACCAAGTTCCTGGACAGAATCCTTCGATCACAGCAGAAAGCCTTTTCTGCATGAGTATGAATGAGTTAGCAAGCATGCGTCGCACTCTTGTTTTGTGCTAGGTGCTACAGTGGATACAAAAAGACAAAATACTCTCATTGTCCATTTAAAGCTTCAAATTTTGCTGACAGAATAAAAGACCTGCCCAAGTAAAGGAGTCAGAGGACAAAACCCAGAAGAACAAAGAACAGTCAGGTGGTGTGGATAAAAGTGTGGGCAAGTTAGGGGACGAAGAGATCAAAGAGATCTGGGGTCACTGGGGAAGTTTTCATGGAGAAACAGGATCTGAAAAAGGAGGTAAAAAACGGCTGGGGCCTCAAAGGGCAGAAGTCAAATGACTGCCCTGGGGAACTAGCATGAGACCAAGCACGCGGGGAGGAGTGAGAGCAACGTGCTGCACGCTGCGCGGGAGACAGGGAGATGCAACAAACCATCCTCAACCCCGGCAGCCGGCAGCCTCCATCAAACAGAGAATGCGCTCTGGCTGCCAGTTCCAGGAGTCGGACGTTTTCTGATAAAAAACCAAGTCACTGAAACTCCTGAACAGGTGATAAACATAGAGCAGCTGTGAAGGATTTTTAGAGGCATAAACTCTAGCTCTGAGGTTTGACTGGGGGGTGGTAAGGGTATGGAGATCGTAGGAAGAAAAGGAAGGAACAGATCTGAAATACTCATCAGGAATTAAAATCATAAACTAGCACTGAGCTCTAAAAGCACACTAAGGTGCAGGTTTTATCAGATTCGTAGTTAGGTAGCAAAAAGGGTGTGAAACAACCTACATATGAGGCATTCCACAAATAAAATTAACATGCGGAAGGAAATATTTAACTTTCCGGTTGGACCTACCAGTATTTACTTTCGACGTTACATGAGCCACATCAATTTTCTGGGACCTGGTGAGCGGGACAGCTTTTGCAGAAGGAGAGTGGGTTATATTCTTCCTTCCATCTTTTGCTTTACTTATCTTTGAAAGGGGTGCAAAAATGCCTGAGGGAGAACGTGGAATTTTGGTGTTAAGCAATTAAAAAAGCATTTCAAAGCCAGTACAACTGCTTAGTAATATAAATCTTTAAGTTCGTTTTTAGCACCTACTAGGTGTCCCGTAGGGACAGACAAAAAAACACAGTACATGGCCGCAAAGAGCTTACAACCTAGTTGTCAAGACAAACGACATACACAATAACTTAAGAATCCCATACAAGACACATAATCAGATGTTAAGTGAAATTACAGGGGGAAGAGAAATGAGTAAAGGTCACAGTTTTCCATTATAATTATTTCTAAGATATTGACAAATAGTGCACTATATAATATAAAAACCACTCTTCTATGTCACTTTATCTCTACCTCCTTTCAGACTCATATTTTCCCACATTAAAGCTTTTTATGTCCACATTTTATCTCTCTTCAAGCTTGTACAGCTTTAGAAGACAAAATTCAATATTACTCATCTCTGCATTCCCCCACGGTACCGAATTACAGTGCCTTACACATACAGGGAAATAAAAAATCCTGAGTATAAAATATAACCTTCCCTAAATGCCTAGCCCTCAGCTCCTGCCAGTCATAAACAATACAGTGTGTGCTGGGGAAGGAGGAACGCATAGACACAGGGAGGAGGTGTCTATATGCAATGGCTGGGAGCACAGAATTTCATTTAAAACGGAGTTTATCCAAAAAAATTATCCAGTATCAATAAGCATGTATAGACGTCACAGTGGATATGGACTATAAATACCAAGATGATCTTGCTAAGACATTTTTATAAAGAAAATAAAGTCCTAATATGTATATTATACACTTCCATTGAGTGTTTATAACCTACCAGACATCATGAGTAAAATGTAATATATTAGAACCAACTTGTTTTAAAATAAAATTGTAGAAATGTTCAAGATTCTACAAAAAGTGAGTGCTTTGTACTAGCTCACAAGTGTAACAAGTGTCAACTGTGATACTTTGCTGCTGATCTTGACTCTTTCCTCCCATGGACTCTACAATGCCATGCCCTGATTTTCTTACTTCTTTGATTTATCCACAATGTTCTGCTCTGTCTCCCACCTTCCCAATTTTCCTTGACTTTCTATTCTATTCTTTGACAAACACACACACACACACACACACACACACACACACACACACACACACACACACACACACACACACACACACACACACACACACACACACACACACACACACACACACACGTTAGCCCTTGATGATGATCACATTCTGTGTTGCCAAGAATTGGGGGGGAAATTATTTTATCTCTGGGAATATAAACGTATACAATGTTATTGAAGAGGTGTGCCCAAAGATTTCGAGGTCACATTTGCATATTGTGAGGAGAAAATAGATTTCAAGAGTCAAAGCAATTTCTAGTTTACTGCTATAACCCGTTTTGGAAACTGACTGGGCTCAGAACACCAAGCTGGCTCAGCAGGAAGGTTACTCCCATTCTTTTGCATAACCCAACACATGATTCTTGCCCCCCAACTTGCCTTCAAGTTTGTAAAGGAAGACAGAGGCAAGGTTCCTGGGGGGATCCAGCTTTGTCCTAATCAAGCATGCCTCTCCTTCGGCTGATGAGATCTGGGGAGCCCACATGCATCTGTTACAATATAAGCACTTCCCAGCATCTGATTTACATCTGCCATGTGTGTTGCTAATGGTTTTGATCTTGCCCTTGGTCTGCTTGACAGGTGCCAAAATTAGCTAATAGAGGAAAATTAAAATTAAATTCTTAATCTCTCACAACTAACCATATAAATTCCCAATTGTTTAAGTAATGTAGTTTAAAAAAATTAAAACATTCAAAAGAATAAAACATATAACGTATAACTAATGATTATATTAGGAAGAGCTATCTAAGCTTAAAAGCAATGTAAGAAGTTTTAAAGGCAAAGGCCTTTTAACTACATAAAACTATATGTTCAAAAACACTGCAAATGAAGTTCAAAGGCAAATCACAAACTGAACAAGATATCTGTAAGAAACATAAGGGCTTCATATCCTAAATATGTATTTGTATTTTTAAAAACTCTTACTTGTTTAAAAAAACAACAACACTAATATCCCAAAATGTTAATGGACAAGTAATATGAATATCTCTTTGTAACTGTCAAGATAACATACAAAATACACATACTACAATAAAATATTTAAGGGTTTTATTTCTCCACTGAGAAATATGAATTCAGACAGAAATTTTCACCCATCTAATTAGAAAAAAAAAGAAAATGGAGACACAAAAATAAGAATATTTAAAAATTTGGGGAAATTATATTGGCTGTCAAGTAAAAGTACAGAATATATAACTATATATATAATCCAAATTTTGTTACAAAGTTAAACAGAAAAAAACACAGATGATTTTCTTCTTTTTCCTTTTTTATGTTTTTCAAATCTTATACAATGAGCATTTTTTGAACCAAAAAAAATTAATAATGGACCAAGCAAATGAGGCTCCATCATAAGTGTATGACAGAAGGATACTGGTCATTTGGATAATTTGTAACAGCTAGCGAGTAGCTAACATGTTTTGAGTGCTTACAGGGAATCAAGCACTATGCTAGGTGCTTTATATATTCATCAACACGTTTAATCCTCATATGAGTCCTTGGGGTATTGTTATCCCCATTTCATAGAAGATAAATTGAGGCACAAGAAGAGAAAAAGGGTCACACAGCTGGTAGGTAGAGAAGCTGATTCACACCCACCCACACAGACTCCAAAGCCCACACTCCTCAGCAATTCACCATATTGCCTCCCCATGGGGCTCTAAGATGAAATACGGTGCAGCCAGGGAAATGAATGTTCTAGAAGAATACCTCATGGCAAGGAAAAATATTCACAACATAGTAAGTATCAAATTGAAATCAATGTGTCAAGGGTACGTGTGTGCGTGTGTGCATGTGTGTGTACGCAAGAGAAAGAGAATATGAATTAAACAATCATTTCTCAGAAAGAGAAATGTCCCAGCTCAGGAGTCCGGAAATAAAGCTGGCCTCATTTGCTTTCCAATCTGCCAAGTTTCCAACCTCCAGGCTCTGTATTTCCTTGATAACAAAGTCCTCCCCGCAGTCGTGATACCAGCACAAGCAGGAGTTCAGGAGGTCCGAGGGGCTGGTGGTCTCCTGTGAGCACGTCTCCCAGCCCCTGAGCTGCTCTCAGCAGAAAAAAGCAGCCCCTTCAGTTATTAATAAGCAATGAGAGTGGGGGGCAGGGAGACAGAGAGTTTTATTTTCACACAATAAAAGAGTAAAAATTTGAGTATTTTAACTTAATTATCATTACGTCAGATAGGCTCTTCCTTACCATATTTGGGGGCACATTTAAAGTACTGGACTTTCCCAACACTTCCGTTGTTTTTCCCTTCTGGTTCATCCAACTCAATGCCAGCCCACTGCCCACTTGCAAATTCAGTTGTTCCACAAAATCTTAATGTTCCAACCTAAAGAAAATGTAAATTAGAGCAACTTTTGAGTATGACTAGTAACTCTATATGTTTAAAAAAAAAACATTCTCTCAAAGTAGACTTCAGAACAAGGAAATTACCAGGGATAAAAAGAGAGAGTAAGTAGTGATAAATGAGTCAATTCACCAAGAAGACATGAGTCCTAAGTCTATATGCACCTAACAACTGAGCTTCCAAACCAAAAATCACTAACAGAAAGATATATGGGAAATCTTCAAATATTTGGAAATTAAACAATGTACTTTTAAATTTCCATGGTGACAGAAAGTCACAGGGAAATTAGAAAATATTTTGAATTGAATGAGAATAACACAACATATCAAAACATATGGGATGCAGCAAAAGCAGTACTAAGAGGGTAATTTATAATATTAAAATGCTTGCATTAGGAAAGGTCTCAAATCAATGATATAAACTTCCACCTTTAGAAACTGGAAAGTGAAGACCTAAAGCAAGCCAAAGGAAAGAAAAAATACAGGGAAGTAACTAAGAACAGAAAAACAAAAGAGAAAAATCAATGAAACCAAAAGCTGGTTCTTCTGAAGAATAAATAAGATTAATAAACTTTCAGTTGGAGACCAAGGGGGGATAAAAAGAAGACACAAATTACAAACATTTCAAGTGAAAGAGGGACATTATTATTTTCCCCCCAATCATTTAAAGAATAGTAAGAAAATACTATGAATAATTCTATGCCTATACATTTCACAAATAAGATGAAATGTTCTAGTTCCTTAAAAGATACAAACTGTCAAAGCTCACACCTGTATTGAATTTGTAGTTTTAAATCTTCAACAACAAAACTTCCAGACCCAAGAGGACTCACTGGTGCATTCTACCAAAGAACTTAAGGAAAAATAATATCAGTTCTATATAAACTCTTCTAGAACATAAAAATAGATGGACCAGCTCCCAACTCAGTTTATGAAGCCAACATTAATTACCTTGATACCAAAACCAGCCAAAGACATTACAAGAAAACTATAGACCAATATCCCTCGGGAACACAGACACAAGAATCCTCACAAAACAAGAGCACATTAAAGCCAGCAATATACAGAAAGGATGGTGCATCATGACTACGTGAGGGTTATCATGAGAATGAAAGGCTAGTTCCACACTTGAGAATTAATATAATTCATCATGTCCACAGACGAAAGGGTGAAGGCAAACTTGTCCTTTTGATATATTTTTAAAAAGCTGTAGCAATTTCAACATCATTTCATGATAATATTAATTTTTTAAAAAACTCTCAGCAAACTAGGAATAGATAGCAACTTCCTTAACTAAAGGCATCTACACAAAATCTACAGCTAACAAGTTCATACCTAATAATGAAAGACTGAGTGCTTTCCCCATAAGACTGGGAACAGGGCAAGGATGTTGGTTCTCACCATTTCTATTCATCCCGGGCAACGAAATCGGTGAGAAATAAAAAAGGCATACAGATTGGAAAGAAGTAAGACTGTCTCTATTCCAAGACAGCATGATTGTTTTCATAGGCTACCTCAAAGAATCCACACAGAAAAATAGGCCAATAGAACTAGTAAATTTAGCAAGGTTACAGGATACATGGTCATACAAAAACGAACTGTATTTCTATATGCTAGTAATAACCAACTGAAAAATAAAATTTCAAAACACCACCATTTACAACACCAAAGATCATGAAAAGCTTAGGTATAAGTCTAACAAAGTATGTGCAATATCTATATGCTGAAAACTACAGAACTGATTAAATAAACCAAAGGCCTATTAGATAGAGAAATACAGTGTATTTGTGATGAAAAACTTGACATTTTTAAGATGTCACTTCTCCAACCTGATCTATGTTTAACACAGCTCCATTTGAAATCCCAGCAGGATTTTTAATAAAAATCTATAAGCTGATTCTAAAATGTCCATGGAAAGGCAAAGGAACTTAAAAAAGAAAATATTGAAGATCTAAAAATATCTGATGGCAAGACTTGCTATAAAGCTACAGCAATCTGACAGTGTAGTATTAAAGAAAGGAGAGCCATTAGATCAATGGAGCAAAATAGGACCCAGAAATATGCCCACGCATATACGGTCAATTGACACAGAAGCAAAGGCAATTCGAGAGAAAGAATAGTATAGTCTTTTCAAAAATGGTGCTGGTCCAGAGACAAAGAAGCATCGATCAGACCATCAAACCTCAGAAGGAAGGCAAAGGAGGGTGGGGGTAAGAGGAAGAGAGAAACCAAAGGACTTGTATGCATGCATATAAGCCTACCCAATGGACACAGACACTAGGGGGGTGAGGGCATGAGGGGGGGGTGGAGAAGCAATTGGGGGATAAGGACACATATGTAATACCTTAATCAATAAAGAAAAAATGGTGCTGGAACAAATGGATGGATGGAGGAGAGGAAAACGAGAGTGAGGGGGGGAGAAGGGAAGAATTCTAAAATTCCAAAATTCTAGAAAAGCAAAAACAAAAAGCCATCCCTCCCGTATGGGGTATGAAAAAAGAGAAGGGCAACAGTGAATGCCGTGAGGACTCTGGGGCTCTGTGGTGTCTTCAATGGGGTGGGTCCTCTTTCCTACATTCATTTTTATTATCAGGTTACAATTCTATCTGAGATTTCGCTATCTGTGGGGTCTCAAGGCCAGACGCCACGAATGGTGAGGCCCCCGCCCCCGTCTCTGTGAAGTAGCTGTGGGGGAAACATCACCGAGGAGGGCAGGGGGCTGCCCTCCATTCACTCAGCAGCTCCATGAGTCACTTGTTTCCCATTCAAGTAAAATGTCTTCATTGCTCAGTTCAAATAGTTTATATTCTTAAGTCATGCTTTATGGTAAATGGGCATTTCAGTTTCACATTTTCCATTAAGTATCTTCCTACCTACATATTGAATTTTTGCCAAAGACTCAAAACTGACCACACGGGACGCAGCCTTGGCACCCAGACCGCGGGCACAGTGACCTTGGGCGCAGATGTAGACACCGTAGTTCATTACTGTACCTTCTGTCCTGCAATGACCACCCGGTCCCCCAACTTCAGGCCGGCTGAGGTCAGTACTGCCTTGCCAGCGGCACGATCGGAACTTGGGGGCACGGGCTTGGAGACATCGCACAGCAGGGGCACCGCGTCCAGCAGCATCTGCTTGATTTCCTTGGCAGTGGCCGCAGCATCGGCCATTTCCAACGGCATTTCCACTGGGTCTGGAACCACATCGGCGGGCATCTCTCCTTTGTCGTTCTGCAAATAAAGAGAGAATTTTCACTTCACAACTACTTGGAGCTCTACAAAGTCATATTTAAAAAAATTTTTTTTTAATATTTCGCCCAGCCAGTATGGCTCGTGGTTGAGCGTCAACCTATGAACCAGGAGATCTCAGTTCGATTCTCAGTGAGGGCACATGCCTGGGTTGCGGGCTCAATGCCCAGTAGGGGGCGTGCAGGAGGGAGCCAATCAGTGATTCTCTCTCTCCCTTTCTCTCTAAAATCAATAAAAATATATATATTTTTTAAATTTTATAAGATGATGACACTCTTCAAGCATTTCTTTTTTTTATTGATTTTTTTTTTACAGAGAGGAAGGGAGAGGGATAGAGAGTTAGAAACATCGATGAGAGAGAAACATTGATCAGCTGCCTCCTGCACACCTCCTACTGGAGATGTGCCCGTACATGCCCTTGACCAGAATCGAACCTGGGACCTTTCAGTCTTCAGGCCGACGCTCTATCCACTGAGCCAAACCAGTTAGGGCAAAAATATATATTTTAAAAATAAATTTGCCGAAACCGGTTTGGCTCAGTGGATAGAGCGTCGGCCTGCGGACTAAAGGGTCCCGGGTTCGATTCTGATCAAGGGCATGTACCTTGGTTGCGGGCATATCTCCAGTAGGAGGTGTGCAGGAGGCAGCTGATCGATGTTTCTCTCTCATCGATGTTTCTAACTCTCTATCTCTCTCCCTTCCTCTCTGTAAAAAATCAATAAAATATAAAAAAAAAACTAATCAAAAATAAATTTAACATCTACGATATGCCAGGCACCATTCCAAGGGCTAAAGGTACAACATGAAGGACACAAAACGCCCTGCCCTCCAAGAGCACATTCTATTGGGAGAGACAGACTATCAACAGTCAAACAAGGGAAATACGTGATGTGTTAATGGTAGAACACGGTGGCGCAGGGAAGAGGACACAGGGGTAGAGGGGCTACCTGTGCGGGGTAGCAGGGAGGCCTCGTTGCTAAGAAGCGCTGACGCAGAGGCCCTAAGCGGGCAGCACGGAGGCTGGCGGTGAGGAAAGCATTCCAGGCTCAGGAAGAGCAAGTGCTGAGGCGAGTCACAGCAGCCAGCAGCACAGGCTGGGAAGGCGGGTGTGGAGACAGGAGCCACGGGTGACTGGCTTCCCAACCCCAGACCTGAGCCTCCCTCCCCCGCCCCACAGCCACCACCTCGGCTCTGTGACCTCAGCCCCTCGGCCCACTCCTGGGGTGACTCAGATTCCAGGAATGGGAGCTACGTACAGTCTCCACACTTTTCAGATCTGGGCTCTGAATCAAGACAACAGCTCTGTTCTCACTCTGAAGGAGAGACTGCCTGGGACTTACCCTGCAGCAAGAGGAAACCGGACAGCTACCAGCCCACTAGCATTTGCATGGTGCTCATGGAATGAAAACCCTTTATCCTTGCCCGTTCATGTAGGAGAATTTGTAGTAGGAGAGACAAACACCAACTAACCAAGTAAAAATAGTTCTTACATTTCTAGCTTGCGAATGAGGAAAATTAGGCCAGGAGAGACTAATGACTTGCTCAAAGTCACTAACATGACCACTGGCGGAGATGACTTTATAATCCATGTCTAGGCCACCTCTCTCGGGTTTCTCCTCCAGGCTATGCTGTCCTCAAACGAGTGATCTTTCCCATGTTCCCAACTCAAAACTTAGAGCTTATGAGAGGCATTCCAGATTGTAATCTTTTAACATGAGGAATCAAGATTCTTTCACTAAGAAACTTTTTCCCCATTTCTTCTTTACTGATAATTATCTTCAAATGACCCATATGGTGAAGATAAGTTTACAAGAACCATTTTTTTGTTTAAAATTTGAGTCAGTTTGGTCCTAAGTAAAAATGTGGCAGGATTGTAAGAAGCTAGGGACATTCCTTGACAAGCAGAATAAGGGAAACTGGGACAAAATAATTAAACAAGGCCAAACAATTTGAGAAATTTATAGGAAGCTAACAAATCACAAGGTGTTATCTTCCCTAACCAAGAACACTTAGCAGCAAAAGGTTCACACGTTCCAGACAATCCCAGGGCAGACCAGCCTCGGTCCTGGTCCCTCTCCAATGATGTTCTTTAAAAATAAAACAAACCAAAAAATAAACCTTTCCCTCTATACACACGTTTTGATGACTCAACATATTGAAGGACCCCTGGAAAACTAATGAGTATTCTATTAAGTCCCTCCCCTGAGTCCTCCCCTAAGAATCCCAAAGGCTGAAGACAGACAAAGGACCCATGGTGCACTCTCGCTAGAGTACCCCCACGCCTTGTCTCTCTGTTCTATTTCTCTAAGGCAGTGGTTCTCAACCTGTGGGTCGCGACCCCTTTGGGGGTCGAACGACCCTTCACAGGGGTCGCCTAAGGCCATTGGAAAAGACATATATAATTACATATTGTTTTTGTGATTAATCACTATGCTTTAATTATGTTCAATTTGTAACAATGAAAATACATCCTGCATATCAGATATTTACATTACGATTCATAACAGTAGCAAAATTACAGTTATGAAGTAGCAACGAAAATAATTTTATGGTTGGGGGTCACCACAACATGAGGAACTGTATTAAAGGGTCACGGCATTAGGAAGGTTGAGAACCACTGTTCTAAGGGATCCCATGAGAGTTGCAACCATGGGAGCAACGGGCAGCGGCAGCTCGTCCCAGGCTAACCCCCTCACCCTATCTCCAAGGCCCCCTTTATCTCTTCCTCTCTCCTGTTGCTTCTTCCACCTTAAGCCCTTCCTTTGTTTCACCGTAACCAGCTTTAATAAACATCCTCTGAAAATTACCTGAACTCGCACTGTGAATCTTTCCTACACGAAATCAAGAACCCACACACAGGGGCCCAAAGAAGACCTGCTCTGGGCCCAGTCCCTGTCCAGTAACAAAAATATGATAAGAAGACATGTTATCACATTTCTGGGATGGTAATGGGCTATTTCAATCCCAGATCTCAAAGAAAAAATACAAAATATAATGAAGATATGTATATGACTATATTAATAACATACTAATATATATATTAGTATCTTATTAGGCTTGCTTAAGCTAAGCCTAAGCAACTGTTACAACCAGACGACCAAATGACTGACAACTGGCTGGTAGCTATGACACACACTGACCACCAGGGGGCAGACGCTCAATGAAGGAGCTGCCCCCTGGTGGTTAGTGTGCTCCCACAGCCTACCTCCCCCGGCCAGCCAACCTCCTGAGGTCCCTCCCCCGGGACTGGGCGAGAGGGCCCCTATTGGCCCCAGTCACCTGCCAGGCCGAGGGACCCCACCCATACACAAATTCGTGCACTGGGCCTCTAGTGTACTCAATAAAAAGAGAAAATGTGAAGAGCGATATGATTTCACTTATATGTGGGACATAAAACTGAAAGCAACAAATGAATTAAGAAAAGCAAACAAAAACTCATAACACAGATAACAGTATGGTAGTTACCAGAGGAAGGGGGTTTGGGGAACCAGTCAAGGGTAAAGGGGGTCAATTATATGGTGACAAGATTTGATTTTGGGTGGTGGGCACACAGTGCAATGTGAAGATCATGTATCATAGAAATGTACACTTGAAACCTATATAATCCCTACTAAGCAATGTCACCCCAATAGATTTAATAAAAAGAAAAAAGAGATGGAAATTTTTTAACATAAATACCTATACTGATAAGTTGTAAGCTATATTTACAATGATTATTTCATTTCATATTTTTGTTAAATCTTCACCTTTCTAGAGTAAGTCACACACTTATGTTAATTCCTATAAAATTTAGCAACTAAAACTTCTGTTAAGAAAAACATTAAAACAAATAACAATGATTATGTCATGCTAACATAAGAAGGCTTGTTCATGGTTAATTACAGAATTCCTTTTTTTTTCTGAAATAGTGGTTATCAGAGCATGATCCAAGGGCTACTGCTGAACCACATAGTGACTGATTTTTTTTTTCTAAGTACTAAACTTCAAAATATGGTAATCTATTATTATTTCTGGCATGAATTGGCAATTTACCTCAATGACATACCTTGCTGTGTGGTAGGCAGACAGACATGAGCAGAGCAAGGCTGATGGGCGAGGTACAATAGATCACCAGGGTGGAAAGCCCCGGGTGCCTAGCCAACAGGCAAAACTGGAAAAACAAGGCCCTTCCTCCCCTAGGTGTCTCTCTCTGGTCATATGGTTTAGACCCCCTGACCTTTCCTATCTCTGATCTTGCCGTTCAAACACTCCCTGACCTTTCCTCCCCTGGCATGTTGCTAGTCTTGCTGGTTACACAACCTTGGAGGGGGAATGAACGAGGGGGCTGGAGAACAGCCCTTAAGCATTAAACCCCCGGGACAGTGAGGTTCTGACCCAAACCCCCGGGACAATGAGGTTCTGACCCAAACCCTCGGGACAATGAGGTTCTGACCCACGTCATATGCATCTAAGCCTCAGTTGTGTTTCAGCTCCAGGCCCAGAAAAACAACAAAACCAGAGGAATGGCTGACACCAGGACCAGCTGCACTGACTAATGACCCCTGCCCTGGCGTCAACCAATCAGTGAGGACCATGACCCTGAAAGCACCACCAGGAAAGCTGATGAATATTCTATTAAGATCTTCTCCTGGGACCTCCCCTAAATTCTCCACCCTTAAAAGCCCTCAGGACGAGGAGGACCCCGTGTGCTCTCCCTCCTGGGAGCACCCCTGTGCCTTTCCCCTCCCCTTCTTCTCCACCCCCACTCCCAGGTGCATTACCATTACCTTCCTCTCCTAAGCTTCAAAGACCCCTTCGTTTGCCTCTCTAACTTGTTGCCTGAGCCCATTTCTCCTACCACTCACTTCTACCTCTGTTACTTTCTAAATAAATGTTCTCTTATAGTGTGAGTCTTGGCTCTGAGTTCCTTCCTGGCCAGAACTCACGTACGGAGGTTGCTGAACCCAGGTCTGGTCTGACTCCAGTGGTCTAACACCTGGTGCCTTTCTCGCCACCGCCAACAACTGCATCTTACTGGGTTCAAAATATTCTCTCCACTAGTGGGGTTTGTCAACAGTTTACTAGCAAAAGCAAACACGCTCACCCTCACATTCCAGCCAAACTGAATTATCATCCCCTAGCCGTCGTCGCTCATGCTACTGTCTGTGCCTACAATGCTTTTCTCACCTCTTTCCTGTATGTACCTGGTTAATTTTAACTAGGTTTGAGCACTCACTGTCACCTCTGCCAGACACCCCCCCATATAGGCCCTCTGTGCACACGCACCCACCCCTCTACCACTAAACTTAACACTCTACAGCAAAACCGACTGCTTACTTGTCCACCCTCCCCTCTAGACTCTATTCTCTTTGAAGACAAAGACTTACCTCATTTATTGTTGTTTTCTCCCAGTGCCCAATA